ACTCTCGTACAATAACATTCTTTTTCTCACTTTCCAACCCCCCTTCGCCCACTCAAATGTATGCTACATTTTGTTATTGTTAAATATGTTACGTTTTGAGCTGCATTTTGTTGGGGAAAATAAAACGTTTGTGTTTTGTTGTTTCTCAAATTAAAAATGATTTAGATGCCAGCAAATTGAGTTCACTTTGGATATAGTTGTGTGTGTGTGCAAGTTTTCGTTTTCGTTCTGGCGTGTAATTTAATTGTTTGATATTTGCCGCACATTCATAGAAATACGAAATCGTATACATTTGTCCTCGTATCGCAGTGTTTCAATCAAGCTTTTCCATTGTTTGATGTCGACTGAGTCCTCCCGCATCGAAAATACCATTTTATTTTAACAGCATCTGTATTTCTTTTTGCTAAAAACTTACATACAGTTGGGGTAGAAATATTAAAACTGAATAAGCATTTATTACAATAAAAGCTAAAATATGGCTGAGTATTATCTTCATTTATTTTATGAAATAAACTTTATTAGCTAGATATAATTGTTAACAAAAATAAAGTAAAGAAAGTTTTTTGAAATCTTGACCTGTATTTTTGGGTCTGACATTTTGTTAGTGACTGAATAAATACTGTTCTACAAATGCGCAGTGTTATCTAGCTTTGTTTGTTTTTCAAATGCCAATTGCTGTTGGCATTGCAATTAAACATGAGCGGCCAACACTAAGCCAAGAAAAATGCAACAAAATAGTTGTGGCAACAGAAAATAACTATTTGGAGTATTTCCCTGCGGAGATGCTTTAAATGACCTCATAGGCGAAGAGGAGAACAAAAAATTCCCTGAATGTTTGCCCTGAATACCCACTCCTACAGAGATACAAAGAAATACACTTAAGGACCGGAAGTGTCAGTATGGAATGCCATACAAGATGGAAAAGGAGAAAGTGAGGAAATGGGAAACGGAGTGGGAAGAAAGGGTCACTCAACCGACAACAAAAGAAACACATATGCCCCAAGTGTTTCCAAAATCTCATTCGTTTCAGGTGAAAAGGGTTAAAGTCAATATGGTTTTAGTCATTTCTAAAGAATTCGAGTGGCGAAAATCCTAAGAAAGAAATAAAATATCCTTCGATTCGGTTTGGCTTGGACACTTCACTGGACACTTTCATTTAAAGCCAACTTCGGGTCATAAAATGCTTTCTTCCGCCGCCTTTGTTGGCTTCCCTCCTTTTTTTATGATTTGTCTGTCCCAGCCATAAAATTGCCAAGCAATTGAATCCATTGGCCACGAGCCTCTGTCCGCCGCTGTTCCATAATCAAATACATAACTTTATTTATGCTGTCCCATCGCCACTGTATCTCCGTATCCTTTCGCCTGGGCCCACAAAAAGTTTCCACCAAATTTGCTTACATTGGCGAAACAATAAAATTCCATTGTCAGAAAGGGATGCTCTCGGTCTTCTATCCGGATGCTATTTTGTTAAGTGCGCGAATGTTGGCGCATAAATAAAAATATAATTGAGCTGCCACCCGCCTCCTCCAATTTCCCCGTACTCCAACACCCTATCCGCTTGCCAAACAGATCAGATCCCTGGCCACAAGGCCTGGGGCCACTGGCTATGATGATGACGCTTCCGATACACTTTCAAAAAAATCATTGTTAGTTCATTGCTAATATTTTCACAAACCATTGAAAAATTCAAAGCTGTTACCAGTTTCATGTCGGTTTAAAAGACATTATCTCTTTTGTACAACCGTTTTTCGGAATAGTTAAATTATAGTTTACAGATTAATTATGAATTATATTAGGTTCTTTTTAAATATAATAAATTTATTGCTTATAAAGAAATTACAACATTTTGCAGTTTAAAAAAAAAAATATTCGTTATTATTTTTTGAAGTGTTCTTTTTTCCCCGAACCCAATGTATTGATTTTTGTCCCATTTCAAATAAATTAGGTGCCATTAATTGGAAATGCGGGCGGGCGATTCACTCAAGCAATGCACAATTTGGACCAAGATTCGATTCGTTGCCAAGGCTTAATTGATTAGCTTCGGCTAAGAGTTCCGTTTCCCAGACGCCCCAATGTCATTGCATTTAATTGCATTGCCAAAATAAGGATTCGGGCAACAACAATTACATTTTATCATCTCACCTGGACGAACTTTTCTGCAAGCCCGGCAATCGAGGGCCGAAAACTGGTACTGCCGTTGATGCCCCGTATAATTGAATTAATTTAAAATTGCCTAGAACCATTTGAACTGCTGGGCTGGTATTAATTTTGTAAAAGTTCAGTTCTGCTTGTCGGCTATTTAAAATGCTAATTGAATTTATTGCAAACTATTCAGCAGTTTGGCTTCGCAGCACTTTCAGGTGATGTTTATAATTAGGATAAACAGGATGATCAAATTAAAATATGGTATGAAATTATTGGGTGTTGTGAGTGGATTGGAATATTAAAATGGAATTTTATTTTATTATGCTTACTTACAGCGTTGAGTGTGTTCATTTATTTATTAGAATTTATTTGATGGGCTGCAATAAAGCTGTTGGAAATATAATAACCTTTGCCAAATAATATTAAAGTGTAATATTTATTGGAATTCCATGAAGTGACAATAAATTTATAAATGTGGCAAATAAATTATTATTTTTTTAATGGAATGTGAGTTTAAATAACCAACCTTAAAAGAAGGCCAAACAATTTTTGGAATTCCTATGAAGTGACAATAATTTTATAAATGTAGCAGGTAAATTATGCTTTTTATTAAATGGAATGTGAGTTTACATAATCAACCTTTAAAGAAGGCCAAACAATCTAAAGCAAAATTTACCTTAAAGCTATCGATGAGCTTTACTTGTTTTGAGTGATTTGACAACTTTGATAGCAGACAATTCTGTTTGAGAAATCACCCAACAAGTTAAATTTGGCAAAATCAACTATAGCCCAAATGTAAATAGCTTTTAACTCAGACTGTCCAATTAAAGCCCGTATTGAGTTTTCATCATTAAGGTGAAAAATTTCCTTTTTTTTTGAGAAAAACAAAGGTAACGAGTGCAAACACTCTACTCACGACATCAATCACTTCGCCACACACAAAAATGCCATGGCACACAGATCGCAATTAATTTACCCAAGTCAGCCTCAATTTGGTCTGGAGTCAGCTTCCAGTGCTTGTCCTTCTCCTGTTGCAGCTGCCAGATGCATCTGCATCCGTGTTCTGTAGTCCGCCAGTCGGTGCATCAGTATCCATCAGATACTCCCCATCCACAGCCATCCGAAAAGCCATGGAATGCCGGCTCCATCGGCAAGTCATCCTCTGCCGTGTTTGCCTGCATGTCAAATTCTCATTTCATTGGAATCGGCAAATATTGACTAAGAACTTCGATGCAATCAACGCTGCCGGCGACTGCGACAAATGGGCGTGGCATGTCGACATCTCGGAGCCAAATCGATGGTTGCCGGCATATTTGCATTCCAATGAAAGTGAAACTGGGAGAGCTGAAAAATGAAAGCCCGAGGTGAAGCTTGAACTAATAAAGCAAGCACAAAATCAACGTGGAACTGAAACCACTTGACCCAAAAGGACTAAAAAAACATAAATATCTCAGGTTTTGTAGGTCAGATAAATTTGTTTAATCCTTGGGAATTTAATGAGGATTCATTAAGTAAAATTTAGAACTTTTAATAAAAAAAACTTATTCTTTTTAATTTATTTCTAACTAAGAAATTATACAAATTATTGAAAACTACTAACGCAGTGTTAGTGAAGTCTTAAATTTATAAATCCAAAAACAAGTTATAAACTTTTGAATAATCATTTAAACCGTTTTTTTTGCAGGCAAACGGAGGCAGTTGGTTATTAAAACATTGCCGCAAATTGCTACGCAACTAAACGGCCAAAACGGTCGAGGCCACTCAGCCGAATCCAGGCGGATAAGGATAATCAGCCCCGCCCAGACATCCTTTGAAGCCAGGTGAAGGAGCACAGAAACACAGAAACACCTGGGGAGCGAGTCAAAAAACAATTTCGCCTCATTATCATTTCAACATATTGTATGCCCAAGTGTTTCAAATTGTTCAAAGAGAGTAGGGAAACTCGAAGGACGAGTTCTGCTCCCGATGAAGAAGTTTTCTCTTTACGTCCTTGTCGAGGTTGCTGCTGGATGTCGGATGTTGCCGGTGGGATTGTTGGGTGGGGGGTGGTCTTAAGTGAAGGTGCTGGCTGAAATCACTATGCTCATAAATGCGCCATGAATAAATTAACTTGCTGAAAAGCAAAAGCCAAGCTAAACTAAAAGCCGAGCAAAACAAAGGCGAGCAGGGGGAGGTGGGGAGAGCCTTAGATTTCAAACGAATGATAATAATAATTGAGGCAGCGACCCAAGTACTTGTACATTGGTTAGATAATAACACTGTAGACATGTACATGCAAAAATGTTTTGTGGGTTGGCACTGCGAAAAATAGTGGTAAGTACAAAATTTAAAGCGTTTAAAAAAAGCTCAAAAAATTCTTAAAAAACAAGTATTTTCAAATGGAATAACAGGTTGGCTTAAACAAAAAAAGGGGAAAGTTAGGGTCATATTTCCGGGTGACCAAAATCCACTCAAAATTACTTCAAGGACTATAAAATTGTATTTAAAATGAATTTTCGGCTAACCATTTCCTTTTATTCTTTGCCATTTCTTTAGTTAAGTTTTGGTAATTTTATGAAGTGAGTGATTTAGCAAAAACCCAACAGTGCGACGAGCTTATGGCCATGTTTTTTAGCCCAGGTTACACCTCCCTTGAGTCATGCTCTTTGAACTGCGCGCTATTAAGTTGACATTATAATTAATCTGACATAAATATTTTAAACCGGACAACAAACACAAGAACTTATTCAAAGCCAAAGCCCTGAACATATTTTGTTGTTTTAAATAATATTTAAAGCCATGTTCATTGATTGTTATGAAATCAATGGAAGACTTCAGAGCAACACGACAATCCAAGCAACCGCTCAGTTGCTAGACAACTTCGGAATCCCCCAAAAACAAACAGCTTTATCGATACTCCTGGTAGACTCTGGTGTCCTGGTGACCTTCGAGAGTTCGCGTCTGACCCCCGACCGGAGCAGTTACTCCCTGACCCTGCCAAGATGTCCAATCACCGGATGACCAGGCATGCCTCCGTGGGCGCCCGTCAGCGGCAGACGCGAATCGGGCGGATGACCCGGCACACGATCTTCACGATGAAACGGCCCGTGACCTTCCAGGTGCGCAAGTCCCTGGTGGAGTACGTGGACATGGAGCTGGCGGACATGGACACGGCGGTGTTCTACCAGCGTATTTTCATCCTGGCCAAGAATTGCCACTTGACGCCCGTGGAATCCGTTGAGGAGTTGCCCGCCGAGGTGGCGGTGGTGGAGCAGGTGGAACCCGAACCACCCGTGGTGGAAGCCGTACAATTCATGGATGAAGAACTCATGGAAATCAACTATGACGAGTCGCCCACGAACACGGTGACGGAAGTACACCGTGCTCCTCCGCCGGAGGAAGTTGTTTCGGAAACCGTGGGACAGGAAAAGGAAATTGTTACGCACATGTTCCGTTTCAGCGAGGAAGATGAGGGCGCAGAGGAGTCGATGGGGGAGGAGGAACTGGAGCTAGATGTAACGGCACCCGACCAGCCCAAGGACTTCTTTGCCATCTTCAAGGAGCGTCTGCAGGAGTTGCACATGCAATGCAAGGCCACGGCCATCACCCCGGATCCCATATGCGGAATGTACCTCCACATGGGCGACTACAGTCTCTTGATGTTGGAGTCCTCCGAGGACATGATCGGCTGCTTCACCAAGGCCTTGGCCGATTGCTGCGAGAACTTCTGGCTGATGAACCGCGTCTTCCAGATCGAGGATCATGTGCAGGAGCTGTTCACCAAAGAGCTGATCTTTCGCCGCATTCCGGCTGTGTTCCTCAACGAGAAGTTCCCCACTTCCACGCCCACGGATGAGTACCTGATGGGCAAGCAGCATCTGATCATCAAGGAGAAGATGTTGACCATATGCAGATTGATCTCCGAGGGCCAGCAAGTGGATCCGGATGCTATGTCCTTTCGCGAGGGCGATTATGAAGAGGACCTGCCCAAGTCCAAGTCCAAGAGCTCCATCCAAAGCGAGCACTTGCCGGTGGAGGTGTACCGCAAGCACATGCCGGAGATCCAGCGAATCGAACTGGTCCTGGCCTCCACCCGATTCTACTACGGATTGGACGAGTTCGCCGGACTCTACGGAAGGGTGCCCTTTGCCCCCGACGAGGATGGTCTCTTCTGGCCCATCCAGAACAACTACACTCCTCCGCACATTTTCCGGCGCACTCCATATGACATTAATCTCACTTTCGCGGAATACGCGGCGGTGGCTTCTAAGAGGAAAACCCACGAGAGTTTGGTCGGCAGTTTGGAAGTCGAGGAGGAGAGTCCACCAAAAGCGGAGACGCCTCCGAAAACTGAATAAGCGGTTCTGAAATTTTGTTTCTTTTGGGGTTTAACGTTGAGACTAGCATTAAAAAAATACAAAAAAAATAGTTAAAGAATATTAGTTGAAAAATATGGCTTTTGAAACTGAAGTCGCAAAGTGAGATGCAATTTTATTGTTATATATTTTATATTTTTGTTGAGAGAAGATTGATTTTATTAAAATTGTTTACTTTTCTTTGCTAGAAACTGAAGAACTCGCGGTCAGAAGTAGTACAACATTTTAAAGATTATTGGCTATTTTTCAAAGAAAAGCTTGGCGTTCTTTGGAAAAAGGCACTTTTTTAGATGTTATTTTATGTCCTTTTTTACAGCTCTAAAAATAAGAGTCCCTTTATGAATATATCAATTTAAAGTAGCGTTTTAAAGAATATAAAGCCATTGACCGTGTAAATGGGAATACCCAGACTGTAGTCTATTTTGAACAAATAGCTAATAAAGGCTTTTTACACACTTTTAAAATTTTAAATATACTTGTGTGCCTAATTTTCTGAGTGTGTGGCCATCATCGTCATCAAGGAGCGGCAGTTGTCGCTGTTATCTCTGAAACTCGCGCTCGGTTACAATGTTTTCGGCATTGTGCACATGACTGCATCTCATCCGGAGCAGGTGGATAACATACATAGGAGGGTGTGGTTTTAGCCCATTCGAGGCTGTCTTGTTTTGGCTTGCCACTTGAATGGCTCGACTTTGTTAACATAAACATAAATTCGTGGGGTGAGTGCTGCGCACATGTGCGGGCTGCTGTTTGGTGTGCCTTTTAACATAAACCGCATCAGACGCCAGCTGTCAGTTGTAATACCGCCGGAGCTTTGAGCTTGCAGCTGTCAAAAGCCGCTGCTGCCATTTAAAGTCACTTGACAGTGGGCCAAAAGAAGCACGGCAGCTTAGTGGGGATTGCGTGGGTTAAGGGTTGCCCAAATGCGACGGGGTTAAGCGGAGGTTGGCTCGAGAAAGTTGCCTAATAAAGTTGAATATCTACTCACTATTAATCATTCGCTGAGGGAGCGAAACGGCGTTAAATCGAGAGTTTGTTCTACAAATCGAATACAAGTTGTATTTGACTGGGTGTTTATGTAAGACTCTTTATTTTTGAGATTTTTTTTAATGATTTGCTTTGTGGGTAAGTAAATTAATCATTTATGTCTTTGGAAGATATACTACGAACATTGAATAATATTGAAATTGAACTTATAAAATCTTTTACTTGAAAATCCTTGCACTTTTAAAAAGCGAAGGCATAAATTATAAATAATAAATTGTTTTGTTTCCTTAAAATTATATTACTAAACCTTGGCACCTACCCTCGATTTCCCGGAAACAATTAAATTAATTCACCCCTCGTGGCTTTAAAAAAGGGAAGCTGCGACACGTTTAGAAAGTTAATTAAACTTTGGGCGCTCCTGCTGCTAATAGCTGCGCCTTTGCCTTTCCCTTTGCCTCTGCTCCTGAAGCTGCTGCACGATCCTGCGGCAGGATGGTCGACATGCCTTGACAAGGACACAATTCAATCAAGCGCCACAGGAGCAGCAGCCATGGCAACAACTGCCGCACGGACAGCGAGTGTCAGCGCATAAACAAGGACATTGCACTCCTGGGTGTCCAACTGCCTGCAGGTGGGCTTTCCCCCTGCCCCCGGGTTTTCCCAGCAAGGGGAAAGGCCAAACATTTGCCGCTGCAGTTTTCATAAAGTGCCAGACGGCAGCAGCTGAAAAACGAGCAACAGCCACATCAAGGTTGGCCGAGACAATGGCGATAAGCCGCCGCTGCAGTGGCTGCTGCTCTCCATGTTTTCGATTCCGGACTTCTACCCGTACTCCGCTTTCCGGACTCCCGACTCCGGACTCCATTCTCCGGACTCTCGACTCCGGCCCGAAAATGTTTCGGTTACGTGTGGCCCACAACTTGAGGCGCAAACTCATAAATTACACAGGCGAGTGAGAGAGGGCCGAAAAAGGCGGCTAAAATGACTTTTGGCTGCTGCTGTTTTTGGCCCATCAAAAGTGAAACTGTTTGCTGCAGTCGCTTTAAGGGGCGTTTGGGCGGGGCCTTAGCCCTCTGCTATACACGGTCTGGGGCGCCAAAGACCAGGCATAATTTAAGCCAAACTCAATTTTCTTATACCCTTGTTGAAAAACGCTATAAAACTAAAGGTATTCCGAAATCAAGAAACTTTATGGGATGATTTTTTTTGAGTCAAGGGTGTAAAGCTTAAATGTGTTCAAAAAAGTGTTTAACAGCAAATCTCAGACAAGAAATTAACCATTTACAAGCATTTAAAAGATATTTCCAGGTTCTTCAAATTTATAAAATACCAAGCCATAGAAAAGTGGAAGTATTTTGAAGAACTATTTTAAGTTATTTTATATTCAACGGAAAATATTACTACTAAAATGTTACATTGGATGGCGTAGCACAAATATTACTTAATATTGTTATTTAAGTATACAGTAAAACAAAATTATAAATAAAGCTTTTGATAATATCCTTTATCAATCTTTTCAGTCTTAAGGTCATAAGCAAATTATCGAATACAATTTAATATCAAATAAATATGGTCAAAGCTTTTGGCAACAGACAGGCAATTGTAAATTCGGCTTGGTAAGCTGCTGCATTTTCCGTTTGCTTATACTACTTTAAAGGCAGACAATAGAGGCTGGGAAATAGAGAGTGCAAACTAACTAAAATATATATTATGTGCTGTGTATACAAAAACGAAAACAATTTTGCGGCGCGATAAACGAATTTCCCGACTTTTGTTTTTGCCCGCTCGACTGCTCGTCCTCCCATTTTGGCACGAAAAGGATTTTTGGCAGCAAAAGGCGAGTCAAGGATAACATGGCAACATTTCGCAGATTTGCAGGCAACAGCAGAGGGGCTGGCCTGAAACGGCGAGGCAGTGGCTCTGACACGGGTCCAGATTGCATTTCCCGGACAAGGATTGCCAACTTACTGCCACCGAAAAAGGAACGTTTCAAAGGAGGAGAACTTCGGCCAGGATAAGATCTGATCTGTCTGGGGGAAACTGCAATTAGTCAAATGAGCAGGACGTGAACCATATTTCATCGGGATAAGACAACTTTTGACTTCCAACGGGCAAATCAACAAACTTTTCCACAAAATTTATGCCTGCCAAGTTATTGACTTTCGCCTAAAGAAATTGCGTGGGCCTTTGTCGCATTCATTATACGCTTAGTTGTGCACGCTTTAAATCAAATTAACTGCCTTGAGTTTAATTCCCAAAACAATCACAAACTTTTGCCATAAAAGGGAGCCCGCATGTCCTTAAACCGAAAAAAACGACTGCGGAAAATATGAAAGAAATTAAAAATAATAGCGCACATAAAACCACAATCTGCCTGGGGAGGCTGGGAAATTAAGCGTGAAAAAATCAGTGAAAATGCCTGGAAAATAGAGCGAAGCCCAAACTGACTGACTGGATGTCTGGCTGACTGGTTGACAACCTCGTCTGGCCTTGGAAATCCTACCATTCAGGCGCGTTTAATTTCGAGCGTTAAGGATATCTCAGTCCGAGGTTGTTTACATGCGTGTGTGCTCATGCCTAATATGCACTGAAAAAATAACCATTAAATTTTCATTTCTTTAAATGTGGCTTTGCATATATTGCCTAAATATTTGGGTCTACTTTTCTCCAAGTGCACATATGCATATTTGTCTGTTCGCGCTTTTGTTTATCTTGAATTTGCCTGTCGCCTTTTTATTTTTTACACTTTTCCCCCATATTTATTATCATGTCGGTTTCGGTTTGCGTTTCCGTTTCCGCTGTTTTCCCGCTCTAATGAAAACCTCCAACTGTCCCTTTTTTTTGTGGGATGGCATGGCAAATGTTTATTATGTGATTATGCTCAAGTTTAGCGCCCGTAGCGCCGAAGTCTATCCCAGGAATTCCTGTCCTGCGCTGGGCTTTTCCTTTTCCATTTCCCATTTTCCGCCTGCTGCCTGCTGACTGTTGACCGGCGGCAGGATTTGGCCTTTTGCCTGAATTTGTTTGTTGTTTTTGTTAAGGCTTCCTTTTTCCCTCCGTTTGCTTTTATTTTGCTTTAAAGCTTTTGTCATTCCTTATGGCTGAATGTCTTAGGATCGGGACCCTACATTGTCGTTTTAAATTACATTGTTACAAGTGTGTCACTGCTGTCCCTGTCATCTTATGCAGTCCGTGTACTTCCGAGAAAGCCTGAAACGATGATTTATCGGAGACTGGGGATGAGCCGGTCCATAAGGTTACAGTTCAGCTAGTAGATCAGGTTTTGGGCGTTATAATTGGATGGACACCAGGACACCCCAGGGGCCACTCATTAGGCTAGAATTCTATGGAACTCGGGTAAAAGGCTTCTTAAAATTCTGCAAGCAACACTCGTCAGGATAAAAACTCGTCCGCCACTTAAGTTAAGTAAAGTTCATCGCTTCTCGAGCATTTCATAAATATTTTTAGCCCACTTCAAGTGCCTGGACTTAATTATATATGTTATATCTGTACAAGAAAGAGCTGGGCAAACACATCACAGTGAAACATTTGGCAAAGTAAACATCTAGAGCGATCCCATTAAAAAGCATTTCCAAGTCAGGGCGAACAGCGGGTGCGGAAAATGGGAAATGTAAGCGGAAAATTAGGGGGAAATTCACTGGCATTGTGCGAACAGAGGAACAGTGTTTTCGGTACGCAGTAATTAACTGGTCTGTCACATAAGTCGCATTAACACAATGTTATAAATGTTCTTGCAGCTGCTTCTTCTAGTGCCAAACATTGCATGTCAGGCACATTAAGTATACGCCACATGCGGCGCATTTACATAGATTTGCAATGTTCGTGGCATACGAAATGGCAGGCAGCTTATTAATTCCTCTTCCACATGACTGGTGCGTGCGTGTGGGAAAAAGGGAAAAGTTTTTGTTTCCCCGAAAAGTTTTGTCTTCAACTTGGCCCAATCTTTTCCATGCAAATTAATTAAAGCCTGATCCTGTTAAAGGTTCATTCGGTTTTTGTTCAGTTAATTAAATTGCCATGTGAGCGACCATGAATTGAGTTAAT